TCCTATGAAAGAGAGGGGAGAGACGCCCCCGGGGGCCCCGCATGCCTCCTGCAGGAAACGCGTGCTCAGGAACTGGGGATGTGCGCGCGCGCGCGCGTGTCCGCGGGACGGCTGTTCCCCGAAGGTGGAGCCAGGCTGGCTGCCCCGCATTGTTCCTGGATCTCCTGTGGCTGCTGCATCTCAGAATTCCAGGGGCGGTGGAGGGTGGCCCCGTGCCTCTGTGCGCGAGTGTCCTCGAGGCTGTGGGCGTGGCTGAGCACTCACTGCAGCTTGCATGTCTTGTTGGGCTGTCTGTCTGTCCGTCCGTATTGGACGGCAGGTGAAGGTGTGTGAGCAGATGCTGCTGGTGCCCTTGAGTGTGTGTGGGGTGCGGGGAGGGGGGTGTCTTTGTGCTGAGTGTATCCACTTGGAGGTATTGGTGCAGTGTGTGTCTGTGTGTGTGTCTGTGTGAGTGTGTGTATGTGAGAGTCTGTGTGTGTGTGTCTGTATGTAGTGAGAGCCTCACCCTGTCCCCACTCATCTGGGGGCAGGAGTTCAAGGACAACAGCTTTTGTAGCAGGTGGGCAGCTGAGAGATGCAGAGCCCATCCACCCCCACCCCCTGTCCAGCCTGAGGAACTTCCCCAGAGTCCAGTCCACACTGTCCTTCTGACTTCTTTCTCCGAGCTGCCCAAGCCCTCAACCTGCTACCACCCCCCCCCCGCCCCCCCCCCCCCCCCCCGGCCACCCCCCGCACCCAGGCTGCGTTCAGGAGAGCCAGGGAGCCCCTTGCCCGGGCTGTCTCCATGCCCCATGCTGCCCGCCAGTCCCCTCTGCAGCAGCGACATGGTACCCTCACAGCCCAGATCCCATTTCCAAACATTAACAACTTCCTCAACCTCCAGCTGGCTTTTTCCAGCTCTGCTGCCAAGTCCTCCCTGCCCGGCAGGCTGGTGGCATGGGGTCTCTCCCTGCCTCATGCACCTCCCTGTCCCCCAAACCAAGTTCTGCCCCAATGCCTGTCCCCCTAGCTTCCCGACTCCACTGCAGTGGCAGCTGCAGCCTGAGGGGCGGCCCTGGGGACACCAGGGGCCAGCCCACCCCAGCTGTGCCTGGCCTGGGGAAGGACAGCAGCCGCCTCAGAAGGGGGTGCTTATGGGCAAGTTCCCTGCCAAGACTAGGAAGAAAAAGGAGGGGAAGATAGAGGGGGAGAGGGAGGGGGTCCTCAACCAGGGCCTGGCACGGCCTGAAGTGCTGGAGAATAGTGGGGACGGGGCTCCCGCCTGAGGGTCACCCCAAGAAGGGCCTGGGCCACCATGGACCCGCTGTCTGCTCTGACCGGACCAGCTGGAACTAGGAGTTTCTTGGGGTCACAGCTGGAGCTGAGAACCAGCAGCTTTTGTGGACCCAGAGGGCCCAGCAGCTCCGCTGGTAACTCTTCAGGTTCTGGCTCCAAGGCAACGGCCAGGATGGGGGGACCCCAGAGGGCGCTTCCTGTTGATGGTTTAGGGAACTGCTGGGTACCAGGTTCCACACCGAGTATGAGAGGCCGTACAGCCGTCACTGGGGTGAACTTCCCAGGGCGGGAGCTGAAGTCGGGAGGAAAGTAACAGCTGTGCCGAGAGGCGGCAGCATGCGGCCCGGCTCTTCCCGTGACGTCACACCCACTCGGGAAGGAAGGGGAGGAGGCCCGAGAGGCACGGGACCTGGCCAGGCTAACACAGGAGCATGAGGCCCTGGGACCAGGATCCCGGCCCCCCGGAGACCTAGGGGTGCTGAGGGGGGATGAGGCCCCCCCACTCCACACACCCCCTGCAGGGAGCTCCGCTGCCACTGTCCCTATGCAGGTGGCCCTGTGCCCAGGAAGGGGCTGCCGCTGGCAGGAGCGCCAGGGAGCACAGCTGTCGCTTCTGTGTGGCTTTGGGGCAGGTGGAATAATTGACTGTTGTGGCTGTGGTGTCGGTGCACACGACTGTGCGTGGAGAAACGTGTGTGTGTGTGTGTGTGTCCACTGGGCAGGGGCAGGCAAGTGTCCGGTGGGAGAATGGTCTGTGGGGGCAGCTCCAGCCCTTCCATGGCCCCATCCCCCCGCCACCCACACCAGCTTGGCCTAGACCTGTGGCCCCCGGGCGCACTGAGGACGCGTGGTGGCAGCCAGGAATGCTAATGGTGCCAGGCTCCGCATGAACTAAATTTAGAAACCCAAACCAAGAAGGTGAATGGCGCTCACCTTCCGGGCAGCAGGCCCAGTTGCCGCTGCAGCCACGGCCCTCCTTCCAGCCAGGGATGGGGGGTGCCCCCCCCCGTTCCACCCTGCCCCTCCCCGACTCAGGCTGGAGTGAGAGTCAGTGGGCTGCCTTCTTACGAGTGAGCATGTTCAGGCCCTGCCCCGCCTCCCAGCTCCAGGCACGAGGACCCCAGGGAGCCCCCAGACAGTGGGGGCCACAGCCTGGGCAGGACTGGGCACGGGCCTTCTCCCCACCCCCGCGACTCACATCACTGGCTGCTGCCAACCTTGCCCTGCAGGATGCCGCCCCCACCATCTGGGGGCAGTGACGTGGCCGGTGTGACGTAGCCAGGGGGATGTGGCCCGAGAGCCATCTGTCTGTGGCAGAGGGAGCTGTGCTTCTGGGAGCCTGGCCAGAGCGACAGGACGGGAGAGGCCCCGGCCTTGGGGTCAGGGAGGGGGTGCAGGTCAAGGGGGTGGGGCAGGTCTTGGGACCCATTGAGGCCCAGGAAGTCCCCGCCAAAGAGCAGGTACTGGTGAAACTGGCACCCCACAGTTGTGACACCCTTGACCTCTGACCTTGTTGCCAAGGGTGGGCTCCAGTCTACCCCGCTACCCCAGGGGGAGCCCGTTCTGTGGAGGCAGGGAGGGTGCAGCCCTGGGTCCCGGAGTGATGGGTGCTGTCTCCGTAGGGCAAGCGCTACAAGAACTCCTTGGAGACGGTGGGCACTCCCGACTCGGGACGCGGGCGCAGTGAGAAGAAGGCCATCAAGTAGGTGCCAGCCTTGGAGTTGGGGTGGGGGTGTGGAGGCAGCCCAGGTGGGGGGAGCCCCTGACCCTCCCTACGTCTACGTCTGCCACACACACCAGTCCCCCTCAACACTGTGCCATGCTCCACCCCCCACACACACACTCCCTGTGCCTCGGGGTGGCTCCAGGCCCCGCCTTCTCTGCCGGTGCCTCCCAGACCCTCACCGTGTTCCAGGCCCCAAGCCCCCTTTCTGGCTGCCCTCCCGGCACTGTGTCCTCCCTCAGCCCGGTTGCTGGTTCCTCCATCCACCCGTCACGTCACACACATCACGCCCAGCCCCCCACTCTTTTCTCGGACCCTGTCAGTGTTCTCAGGGTGACCTGGAGGGGTGCAGCCCAGCGCTGGGCTGCTCAGGGGACGCTGGTAACGGGGAAGCTCCCCTGCCCCATCCCCCCATCCCCAGCGAATGTCTTGCTGCCTCTGACCCCCCATTTTGCTCTGAGGCCTTTCAAGCAAGCAGGTCAGCCTTCCACTGTGGACCACCTGGGCCAGCCCACTGCGGAGGGCCCGTGGGGGACACCCGGAGACGCCCCTCTGCCCCACCTGGCCGGGGGCTCTGTGCCCTCTGGCCGATGGCCTGGTCCCTTCCTCGGGCCTTCACTGGGAGGCTGTGGGGCCAAGGGCGCCGCCATCTTAGCCTGCCAGCTAAGGGGCAAGCTGCCCCCGGCCTGCCTGATCCCCTCCCCTCCCCTTCACCCCCTTCCCACTGCCTCATCCCCCCGCTTCCCTCCTCTGTCTTCCTCCTTTTCTCTCCTCCTTCCCTTCTTGCTCCCCCTGCTCCTCAGGGCTCCCCTCCTGCCCCTCCTCTCTTTCATCTCTAGCCCTGACCCTGTGGGGCCTTCACAGAAGCTGAGGGGGTGTCTGTGGGGCGGGTTAGTGGAGAGTGGGCCCGGCCAGGTTGGGGGTGGGGAGGCGCCGGAAGCCTTTGAAGCTGGTTCGGTTGCACGCTCTCCAGTCTTCAAAGCCGGAGCCCGCAGGTCTCAAGGGCGGTGCAGAGCCCGGCTCAGGCCTTCCTGAAGGCAGGGGGACAGTGTGGGGGGCGGGGGGAG